AAATAAATTCTAATTGAACTAAATCAAAGTACTTATCTAGTTTTTGGTATTAGCATCCAATCGATTAAAAGTCCAGTTCCAGTCTCCCGGTAAGTCTCAAACACGAACAAGATTGCTATCACTTTAAAACTACAAAATCTTGCAAATATTCCAGAACACCAAAAAACACGTCCACCTTCACTAACTTTTCTTGTAACTTGAATCGGTTTGAGAGTGTGTTCGCGCGTCTGTATAGGCGTGTGGTTGTTTGTGTGCTCGAGTCATTAGGTGCGTAGCTAACAATCAGCATTTCCCTGCAGTTTGTGGCGCGTACGTGTCGCCGTCAACACATCAACTCGAAATTAAATGTGTGATGTGATTGCTATGCGCCTAAAAGTATACAACAGCACTCAACGCAATTACGACAATAGTGTGCGTACGTGATTTATTTGGGAAAATCTATGACGCTTCACACCGCACACACAAGCTCAGAACAACTCAAGTGCATTTCAACACCAGCAACAACAAACAACAGCTGTAAATTCGTCAATTACATTGTAGTGGGGGCGTGGCAAATTGAGTGGCGGCGCACAACTGTTCACATCATTAAGCGCACAAATTAATGTCTAAAACCCGGCACTCTGGCCAAAACACTTGAAAAGCTGTAACGTGTGCAAATTTCCGTAAATTTTTCTGCTAATGCCACACGGTTGCATGGAAAATGGGGATTTAATTAAAACAAAATTCAAATGCACACTTAAGCCGCAATGTTTTATGAAGTTGTTGTGGCGGTGTGCACTTAAAAAATTTAATTAAAATAGTGCTGTGTTTGCTTAGCTGCTGATTTGGAATGAAGTGCCGTCTACATTGAGGCGTTGTTAGCTCTGACAATGAAATGTGCTCGAAACCATACGCTGGTACATAATAAATGTTTGCAGGCTGTTCGCGAACACAACGAAGTTTTAATTAATTCAAACTAATTCATCAGGTGCAAACATATCACGAGTATGTATGTGTGGAACCTTAAACCTAACCTACTCCCAACTCAAGACTCTCCCACACGGAACCACCGGTTAAGTATTATTTCGTAGTAGCGACAGAACATTTAAGTCTCCTCTATTGTGCGGACTGGCGAACGCCTAATCTGTTGAAAAGATGCTTCGCTAACAGCTTTCCATTTCTCAGTCAACTGACACATGAGTGTCGTTAAATCCTTGACCGTAAAACTACCACCGAGTGTGGTTTTTTGTTTTTTCCTTCAATTAGAAAAGTGAGGACTGTGAAATAATAGATGTTCAGAGTCTTTTAAATTCTGTGTGCGTCGGACAGCTCTAATATCATTGTGGAATCCGTAAATGTAGCTTCTAAAGCACCCATATCCACGAAGTATGCCGTCTCTCAATACACGAGAGGATGTCCGATAAAAGTCTGTCAGTTCAGCGCCCTGTGGATGGGCAATGCCACATTTTGGTGCTCTCGTTCCTCTTCCCTGTCTTTTTCGATATTCTTTCAAGCACTGAGAGCTTATATAATATAATTGCTCGGAGTTCACCTCTCGTCTTCTAATCTACTAGATTTGAAAATTATATGATGTACGAAAGCCATTGGTGATGAGCTATTAAGGTTATATGTGGGTTTTGATGGCGGAACAAATACTATTTTAACCAATTTGTTTTTCATATAATAAATAATTTATTTATTACATATTTTGTGCATATCAAATAGTAACAATTGAATGATTTTCCATAATTTTTTTTTTTAGACATTTAGCCATTGACAGTTGTTATAATAACAAAGGCACCGCCCAAAAACATCTCACGGTGGACAGCATAACAAATTAGGGAATTCTTCTAACATAAAAAAAATTATAATTTAATCGTATAGCAGAAGGAAAAAATTAATTTTTGGCAAAGTTGCAAACAAAACAATACGATTTGATTTCTACTTTTTACTATAAATTATCTTGAAACCACTAAAATGAAAATTTTTGAAAGATGGCATGCTCAGTTTCTGAGAAATCATAACCACCGACTTTGAAAACGATGTTTCGAGAAAAACCACTCAGATTAAAGTAGTCGCGACCGGTCTAGCTTGCTGGCCGTCCTCCCAAAAGTTCTATCTTGTACACTTTTATTGCGCTTACCTTGAAACTTTGGGAATATATTTTAGACATATTATAGTATATTTGATGAACGCTTGGCTTTTGAACGCGAAAAAAAGTATTTCAGTCAATACATATAAGATTTTCTTTGGTGAAATGCCGAAAATCTGCAGAAGTAAGCGTTGACTTGTGAAAATTGATTGTTCAGAATTATTTAAAAAAACGGGGGTATGAAAAAATCGCAGACAAAAAATTAGGAGCAAGACCACAATCCAAAAAGTGATAAGAAATTATAAGATGACTGATGGGATTGAAAGATCGTTAAGATCAGGCCGCCCAAAAATAACCACTGCTCGCTAAGGGATTTAAATAATTAGAAAAGTGATAAAAGACCCGACAGTTTCAGCTCGATTTATGCGGTGGAGCCGTCCGGTCAAAGTTTCCGTGCGAACAGTTCAGCGTAGAAACCGAGACGATTCTTATTCCCGCTGCTACAAAATCAAAAAGCCTTTCTTCAAAACAAAATAAGTTGAAGGCTAAATTATAAATTGCCAAAAGGGTACTATCTAATGCCGTTAAGTTTTTCGAAGCAAGTGAACAGGAGTGATTTAAATTAAAAAATATTAAAGACAGTGAAATAGTTTGGCGAAAGCGTCATGAGAGTCTCCAAAGTATATGTATCCAAACCACCGTAAAGTTCGGAGGTAAAAGTGTTTTAGTTTGGAATTGCTTTAGTTTCAGTGGTCAATCACAGTTGGTACTAGTCGAAGACAAAATGACGGGAGACTTCTACAAACTTAGAACCCGCTGCTCAAAAATTGGCCTACAATATAACTCAATATACCAACAGAACAATTATTTCAAACATAGTACAAGACGGGTTGCGAGTGAATATTTTTACACAAAAAATCGGTGGATTTTCCCACGTTGGCCTACCCAAAGCACTGAGTAAAATCCTCCATCTTCTTGTTGTTTCAATAAATGAGTGATTATTGAAGGACTTCTGTCAGAATATACCACTATCGGCAAAACTAAATATTGAATATCTTACTTAGAATGTATCTGAATATTTCTCTTTTCACGTATTTTTCTGTTTTGAGACTAATGAAGCTTATTCTTATATATATCAAAAGTATACTAAGGTATCATAAGGTCTCAAAACAATAAAATTTTGGAAATTTAATATCCCGATTAGTTTTGTGTTTAACTTTAAAGATCACGCACTTTTATCGCTATCTCTAGACAATCTCTTTCTGTTCTTACTTAGTCCCTCATAAGTTGAAAGCATGTATTCAAAGCGCTGCAACCGAACGCTGCTCAACTCAACTTTACAATGACTTGAACAACTCAAGTAGGGAGTTTTTCTAAACTCAATGACAGCAACAGGACACAAAGCTGAAATGAGAAAGCAATTCAATTCCTGGTCGCTCCATTGCCTATGGGCACTTGAGTGTCGTTGCTGTCAATGACACGTGAATTTGAAGTGATTTTCAATTGTTTCACTCCATACCAACCAGAAAACTGACAAGTGAGTAGGAAGTGGATTGGTGTACGAATTTACAGTAAAATTAAAGAAAATATGTATTGAGCGTAAAACTGAAAACTAATATGTATAGGTTAGGTTACATGGCTGATCCATCTGGAGGGATATGCTCAGTCCTTCGTGAAGCCAGACGATAAATGATAAAGATTAAAAATCTTATAGTTGGATATTAGCTG